ATACATCACCACTTGCATATATTATCATCACCCAGACCCGCAGTGGCTGGGCAGCTCCAGTTACAGAGAGGGTTTGGAGAGCCTGTCCCGGCAAGTGGGAAATCCTACGCGGTGCGTCCACCCATAGGTGAGGCTGCCAAAATCGCTTCAAACGGGCCCGGCCTTATATACCAGAGATCGAGAGGCCAGAATAGCTGGCACCTTTGTTTTGAGCAGAAAATCTCTGTTTTCATTCTCCTGTTGGATTCCACCCAAAGCCTGGCCAGGGCTCAGGGGGGGAAACCAAGGGAGTTTCTAACAAGGCCAGATACTTGGGTTCTCAGCCTTGAACAGGCTAAACAAGGGAAGTTGGATACATTCTCTCCTCACTACTGATTATATTTTGTCTAAGCCGCATCTTTCACTAGCAAGCTTACATACTTTGTTAATGATTACAGACTAAGTTAGCAGCTTTGGCTTGGGGCCTGTTGTTCAGGCTTCAGTACTTCAATGCTTTAGCACTTTTTACATCAGCATAAGTGCATTGTTATAACTTAGTACAATACCTACTAGCACAATGGGTTTCAGTTATAAAATATACAGGATTCATCTATAGGTCAACTCGGGCTTGGGCCAGTTGTCCAAGCCTTAGCACTTCATCCTCGAATTCAGTGGGGCCCAAATTTCACCCCACAGTTACACTGATGTGCAAAGAAAGGTGGTATAGGTGGTAGAAGTGCACTTCAGAAAAAGACCAACCTCTTAAAATTCAAAAAGCTGAACACAGCAGCTCAGTATTTACAGAACTCAGGGGTGGTTAGAGCTGGTCCCATTCAGACAGTGATGTTTTCTCCAGTTAAACGTATTTCAGTTAAAGTAACTCCTCTTCCTTAAGATTAGTTCACACTGAGAAGGTGACCAGCAGAGCCCTGGTGGAATGAGGTATCCTGTAACTGCTCCCACAGTAACACACTATTCAGGGATAAATATGAGTGTAATTAATTTTTCCAGGGCAAGTTGTGGGGGTTTTTTTTCCTTTTTTTTTTTTTTTTTTCCAGAGCAGAGCAACCACACAAGAGATTTTGAATCGCTTGAGAAGAAAAATGTATTTTTACTACCTTAGTTGCATACAGACAAGCCTAACTCTCACTGCAGTCAGGCCCACAGAGAAAACAAAGGTGAGCAGGTCAATACAGTCACAAATTTCCCCCATGCATACCCCTCTGCTACCAAAGCAGAACCACCTGGGGAGCTCTTAGCAGAAACCAGGGCTGAGCAACCAGAGAATTGCGTCTGAGCAATGCTGGTCCTAGCAAGCATCAGCAAGAAGGCCCCGTTAAATGAGGTTCATGAAAGTTCTTGAAAATTACCCGAGTCTTCAGAAATGGAGCACAAATCCCCCTCTACAGAGATCTGCCCATCATATCCACGACCAGCATGGCATTAAAGCAGGCTTTTCACTCTATCCATCCAATACTAACCAGAGGAGCTCAGATTAGGTGAGCTCACCTTAACAAGGCACATTGCTCATTACTAACTAAGAAAAAAACCCCAAACAACAAAGCAACTCACACACACACACACTTTAGAGGTAGCTATCAACGATTCCCTGTCACAACAGGAGAAAACCTCATGTACAGGCCCTCAGAGATCAGTCCAGGTTTGCTTCTACTCATCCTTTTCATTAATGGCCCGAACAATGAAAGAGAAAGTACTTTTGTAAAACCTGAAAGGATGCCCAGCATTTAAGAGCTGGAAGCACTCCAGAGGTTATGATCAGAATTGATAAACTCAAGAAAAATTCCAAAACTACCCACAAATCAATAAAAAGCAAGGAAAACAATGCAAAGAACCACACTCAACTAGCAAAAACAAAGATCAAGCACACAAATACAGCATGAGGGAAATCTCTCTGGAGAGGTAACACAGAGGAAAATTGAGGACTGGGCTAAAAATGCAGCACTGTGACACCACACTCCAGCTGCAAAGAGCTAAGCATCACTATGTGATCTAAGAACATAATATTCCTAATTCTGGTCTGGAAAACCATGCTCAGTGCTGGGTACCACCCCTAAGAAAGTCACCAACAAACCAGGGCGTCTGGGCAACAAGAGGTGCAGTCAGCAGTGTAAAACATGCAGTCCCATAGCAGCTGTTGAGAGTTTCCCCATCTCTGCTCCCTCCAGGGTCATTATCAGCTCATGGCATTTAACTGCTGTTTACAAGGACAAGCATCCCTTGGGCTTCCCATTCTATGATGGCAGGAGACAAAGTGGCACACTTAATTTGCTGCAAGGGCTTGTCCAGGGCCACAGCAAGGGCAAAGGCCCAGAATTGCTTGTTCAGGGCCAAAGCAAGCGCTATATAAGTATATAAGGCTCCCCAAGGCTGGGCTTTCAAGTCCCAGAAGGAACTTGTCTCCAGTTCTGATCTGCACTAACATCCACCGCTGCCCAGTCTGGAGCTGAGTATCTCTCACTTGGCCTCAAGACAGGGGCCTGGACAAGGAGGTTTTTCCAGCCTTCCATTTCATTTTGGCATCCTCCATCTGGCTGCTCCTACACTACTACAGCAGTGACATCTTAGAACTAAATTAACAGCCTTCTCTTCCCCAAAATACAACAGAGCTCCTCACCCTGACAAAAAGGCACCCACCCAGCAATGCAGAAGGAACACAGTCATAACCATTCCAATTCACATCTTCTTTAACTTTCAGAAATTAAGCTCTTCAGCTCAATTTGCACCAAACTACTTTGGCAGTGAAGACACCTTCCCAGGCCCTGCAGGGCGAGAGACGCTGGCCTGGGCTGCCCGTGGGGAAGGGCAAGGGTCCCTCCTCCCCCCTTACCCCCAAACAGCCCTACCGACCTGTATGATGGGCTGTAGCCCATAAGGGTCATCACCCAGCCCAGCGGGCCAGCCCTCCCTACCCCAGACAGAATAATTTGAGTCGATGATTGCTGAAAGCAATTGAAAACATCAAAACAAGGTGATTAAAAGTGGGCGAGAGTAGCTGCACCAAACCCCAACTGAAGGCTCTGCGAGAAACCCAGTAAGGGAGTAAGATCTACAAATCTTATACAAAAGTGGGGCTGAACTTCCAGGAACATTTAAGATTTGCCAGTGACTCAAGAGGATTTGAAGGGTTTTTGAGTCAGAGCTTTAGGAGCAAGCTGCCTCATGAACTGCAGCCAGAAGAGATTTGACAAAGCCTTCGTCAGCACGTGCTGTCTCCTTTCATAGAGCTGTTTCCCAGAAGATCCCAAGTGTTGTGTCATTTTTCACTTCAGGTGCTAAGAATATCTGTGTGTTAATAAAAAATAGTAACTAGTTTCATAGAGAACCTATCAACAAAGCACTCGACAAATCTTAATTAACGCTGATTCACCTACTTCACGAGTGCAAGTTAAACATTATTTCTCAGAGGGGGAAGCTGAGCAGTAAGAGAGATGAGGTGGGTTATAAAAGCCACTGAGGGAGTCAGTAGCAGAGAGGATTAGCACATAGAAAGGCTGACTATTATCCCTAATTTTATCCCAATAATCCAGTGACTTGCAAATTCTCAGGGTATAGCTGACGTGCTTTCAACCACACCTGTCCAGCTTGACATCAGTATTTAAGTAGCCTTACAACTCCTCACCAAGTAAGAGCAGGCAGAGAGGGTCTGAGGGTGCTGGAGAATTTTTTAGGTGTTTTATTGCTCTGGCTAAAAAAATTCTCAACTGAAAAAAGGAGAAGGTGGCAACAATAGCACTAGCACTGGTCTTGTGTTGCTCTAGGGCACTGGGATGTCACTGCAGGTCCAAGGGCTGTTTGGATAACTCACTAGGAATTGCCAGTTTCCAGCTCACTTCTTTAAAAGGAACATATCAGTATCCCTTCAAATCTACTAAATATGTGGCCACACAGACAACAGACCACAGGAACTTGCAGACGCGGCACTCACACCTCTGTTATGCACTTCTACATCAAAGTTTCCGAGGCAAGATTTTGATTGTCTTCACCATAGAAATGCCTTGGAGGCTGCTGAAAAATACCAGCGCCGGTCATTTTAAGGGAGAGTTGGGGGAAAGAAAAGCCGAAAAAAAAGTCCATCCCTTAACAATGCTACTTGCAGAGCATTGGAAAGGATCACACAGAACAGAAACACTGCAGTAGGATGTTTGGTAAACGGCAGGGTGTGTCATCGGCTTCTAAGCCGTAGGGACTTATCTGCATTTAAAAGGCTTCCTACCACAACTGTACACTGGGGCAGCCTCCTCACACAGACAGCTCTACCAACAGAAATGTCTGTGCAGATTATACTCCATTGGCAAGCAAATTAAACAGTATCAGTGAAGTCATACTTTCTGCCTCTAAGCCATATTTGTACTAGGTTAGTTCTATCAGCAAAACACTGTAAAAATAAATAACTTGCCCCTAAGAAATTGTGTCTACAGAACTTGTTAGTGTAAACCCAGGCCATCTTGTGAGGCGGGTAGTGTTGATTATTTGTCAAAGATTACTTCTAATGCGAGTGTTAGTCAACCACTAAAGTTAAACACTGTAAGGCAATATTCCAAATATTGTTTATATACAAAATCCCATTTGCTCAGGCTCAGTTCTCACTCCCTGGCTTTATGCAACATGCAATTTCACTAGTTCTCCAGCAAGAGAGCCATATGCAAGCTTGTACCAAAATAATTAAACAGTTTAAAACTCAGGCCTCATGTTACCGAGTGCATACCCAGAGAAAAAATCCATTTTAATATTCCAGAGCTACACCAAAGGTACCAGCACACTGTCACTCTAGAACTGCCCGAGTGCAAAGGGGGCCTGCAGTCACCCAGCCCATCCTCAGGTGCAAGGCAGATTCCAAACTGCTCCTGTTTTGTTGAATTTGTATTTAAAATCTTTCAGGGTAAGGGATTCTCGTCTGCCTGAGCATCCTGTCCCACACTTTGTGGGCAGGTGCCCGCCACAGGGCCCTGATTTTCGGTCACTTCTAGAACAGGACAGCCCAGGCAACTGTCACCGCTTCCCAGCCCTGCCGAGGCAGGCCGAACCCCCGAGTTTAGGTCAATCGCCGTTACTCCTCCCCGGGCCCTGTGCCCCCAGAGCCCGGGCAGGGCCCCCTCTGCGGGAGAGCAGGGCAGCAGGCGGCCCCAGCCCCAGCAAGGCCTCACCGCCGGCTCTCCCCGAACGAGGGAACGGGCAGGGCCCGCTCCGGTGCGGGAGGTGGCGGCCCGACCGCCGGCCCCGCGCAGCGGCCCAGGGCACCGGGGTCTGGGCC